GAAGCACAGTTATTGGGCAGCACAAAAGTGCAATCTGATATTCCTGTGAGGGACAGTTGGTGCAGTGCACAACACGACACAGCTGTGCTTCTTTGAGGTGTTTACCAAGTGACCCAAAGAGTGACTTCCACATAGGAGGGTTAAAGTTTTTCCCATGACAAAGAAGTATGCTGTTCCTAGTTAAAGGCAACAACAAAGCAGCCTGGATCATGGTTAACTGTTGCAGATATTGATTAACCATTGGCTGGATGATTGCTTACATGTACATGTACACTTGACTCTTCAATGATACTTAAACAATAGCCTGCACAGTGTATATGTACACTGGAGTACAATAAAGCACTGTCTGGTCCCTGATCACATTTACTCTGAACCCAGTGGCACATGTACAGGTACCAAGATACCTACAGGTTGCAGTGTTAGTGTGAACATGGCCTGGATGTATGGTGATCATGGGCTTTTTGTGAAATGCAGAGAGTTTGATCAGGTACATGTAAGTGCATGGAGGTCTTAACAATGAAAAGGGGAAAAAAAGGTTTCAGTTTTAGAAGGAGAGATTTGAAGTCCATCTAGTCAGATTTAAACCCAAATGCACAGATCACCCTGAGAGGGATTGGAACCTGGGTCACAGATGGAAGGCGAGGAAAGTACACCAACCTGACTCCCTTCCTGCATAACAGAGAAACAGTTGCTGCCAATATACATGTACATACATGTATTTATCCCATGAAAGCCTTTTGTACATGGTATGCTGGACTTCTAACCTTTAACAAGTTTTTCTAATTTGTTTGAGGAGGGTTACTGGTCTGTCTCTTCTAGGAAATGAATTAGAGGTTCCTTGGAGTATGTGAAAAAATCTAAGCCCATCACCAAAAAGCACAAAATGGAAGCTGAAATTGCTTTGCTTTGTTCGGTAGATACTCAGAGCCTTGCCGTGACATCTTCAAACTAAGACTTCTTTTGCCAAGGAAAGGAAGTACATGTATCTGCGCCTGCTGTCTTGTGAAAAGATTACATAGCGCTCTCTACCAATCACGCACAAAGCTTATACAGAATATTCACCTTTGAGATGAATTGTTCATGCTTTCTCAGTCTCATGCAGGTAGCATAAAAGCTGTATTTATCTGACATCAAAAAGGATTCATTTCACATTCAGCACACTACCCGAAATTTATTTAAATACTGCAGAAGATGTGCAGACAAAACAGAGAGTAATTGTTTGTGGTAGAACATGCAGTATACACATGTAGGTTTACTCCTACATTAGCATCAGTTGTTCATGGAGCCAGTTGACACTGGCTGTCAGTGACAGTGCACCACCTGTCATGTTTTGTCCTATTGGTGTCAGTTACTGTGTAGTGGTACTTCATTAATATTGCCTGCCCAACATGGAGACACTGTGATCATTGGTGTGATTGGAATGAAATGATATGTGGGTGGTTGATCTGTTCATGTATCAACGTTCCTGAAAGAGAGAGGAGTGCATACTTCCCTAAACTAGGTGTTTCGACTTACAGAGTAATTGATTGGTGCATTTTCATTGACTGACAGTGTTCAATAACTCATTGATTAGTTGTTTATTTGTGCTTGCTTTTGCTTCACAATCTGTCCATAACATACCCAATGCTGCTTGGTCAAGTTCTCTGTTAGAAATCTTCATGTCTCAAGCTAGTCTTAAAACCAGTTGCTATTGTGTCAAATTTCCCATTTTCCCCTTTTGTTTCATGTTACAGTTTGAGGATCATGGACCATTTATAAAGCTGGAACAGCTTGAGAAGAAACCAGCTCACATGTCAATCTTCTTGCATTATCTCATCTCCAACAGTGATCCTTCCAGCTTAGTAAGTACTTTAAGCATTCCAAATTCAACTTGCAAATTGCAAGTCAAAACGTTTCAAAATTGATAGGATTGTCCATTGTAATATTTTCAATTAAACTCGATGTCCCATTTACCTTGGGTTTCAGGAACTGTTCCAACAGTTCTAAATTAGCCATGGCATTTGTGGTGTCGTTCCATTTAAAATTTTCTTTTCATGGGAAAAAATTATTTCGGAACAGGCAGAAGCTTAAAAAATACTTAGGATGAAATGAAGCTGAAGTTTTATTTTGTTGTGTGTTCGGTTTTTTCTGCCTTTCTTTTTGACAATATTTCCAAGCCATTCAGGAAATATGACGATATTTCTCCTTGTCCAGTTTTTCTACTTAGTGACCGACAATTACCGAACTGGAAGTCTAAAGGAAATGAGGAAATGGGTTTATGAAATCTTCTCCACCTTTCTAGCACCATTGGCGGTAAGTGTAGAGCGCCCTCTAAAGGTGATGAATGTGCACTAGTAGACTAGCATATGGTCAGAAAGTATTGTCTACCCTAAAACAGCTAAGCAAGTAATTACATTTGCATTTACTTTATTGTGACTTGCCAGAGATTAGCTGGTCTTGAGGAGTTACCGTAAATGTGTCTTGTCGTTGAGGTTTTTGTTTTCTTTTCAATCTCAGCCCCTGAGAATTCAAGTGAGTGAAAACATTGTCCAAGCAATAGGTAAGTCTACAAGTAAGAATGTGTCTTAATATGGGTCTTCATTCCTAAATGGGCATATAACTGTTCAAACAAATTTTCTTCACTCACGTGTAAAGTTCTTGTTTCTCTTCAAAATTGTTTGAAACAGTAATCTATAGTCTCCACAGTCCTTTATAGGGATTAAATGGAGTTTCACTTGTTGATAGGTACATGTATAAGTTCAAAAAAGTGATCTGTGGATTAAGTCCAGCCAGACATGTCCACATTTCTTATATTCCTCTATTGGAACCCTGTCCATGCTTTCTCTGCGCCAAATCAAAAGTCCTCAGTAGTTGTATTACATTGTATTCACCTGACATTGCTGGGACGGAGTGGGTTCTTAAGTCCTCGGTAGTTGTATTACATTGTATTCTCCTGACATTGCTGA